AAAAAAACAAACGCATAAATGTGAAACATAAGTGGTCTCCATCTTTCTCACATCCTCCGCCAAAAAAACGCGTAAATGTGAAACATAAGTTGTCTCCGTCTTTCCCACATCCTCCGCCATATTTATTTTGACAAACTCCTGCGTACGTTTACATAGGCTACCCCTAACTTGATCATCTTGTAGCTATATTCTGCTTGTTACCGAATATTTTGTAACCAGCAAATTATGTTACCAAACATTGTTATCTCTTCTTGCAAACGCAATTCTAGGTACCTTGGTAACGTTTTAATTTATTCAGCATTCCAGCTAAGAAGTTTTGTAGAAATTCTGTTGTTGCATATTTCATGGGGCAATATTTTGTTACCTACTTATGAGATGGTAACAAATTTTACCGGTTACGAGTGCGCAGAATGCGGAAAGGGTTTAAAAAAAGAGAGGAACCTTATTATCCGTTAAAAAAATTTGATCGCCAACGCAGAATAGGTTAATGTACGATTTTGTGTTTGAGTCTTTTCATGATAGTAAACCATATTTGTGTTACCAACGCAGAGTAGATCTGTATGTATACATTCACTTATACATGCTTCAGAGCTTTTTAACCATCAATAATGCAGAATAAATAAATTTTTTGAATTCGTATACATGTTGCTCGAAGTATCTAGAGTCAACTGTAAACAAATCGTAAGCAACGGGTTTACAAAAATTTTTAAATTTATGACCGAAGCTGGTGAAGGCAACCATGTTGCCAAATTACAGTTGTTGTAAAACCACTTATGTATGTGATTTTAGAAGTTTTGAGTTTACGTCGAAATATCATGGGTCATTTGTGCAAAAAATTTATGTTTATTTTGTTTTTTTATTAAAATAAAATATAAACCACTAATTAATAATTTAAAAGCAGGAAGGAGCACTGCGGTTTAGAAGTTCAGAGAAATAATGGCCAAACTCGAGATAAGTAATTTTTGCAAACGTACTCAGATTTTACTGCGGAGTTGCAACTTTTCATTTGACTGGCTGTAATTTCTTCAATTTTACATTTTAGAATTTTTGTGGCCCTCGCGCAGAAATTGCGCTTGTAGGCGATGAGATTGCGGGGAGATGTATGGTAATTGAATTTATGAATGAATCAGTTTGACCTTGAAGAATATGCGCACGCGTTTATGAATGAATTTGTTATTGTTGTATTTTAGTGACACGTGCGTATATGTACGTATATTTGCATGGATGTAGAAACATACATATGTTTGTATGGAAAATCGCAAGAGTACATTTGTACAAATTGGCGTAAAGTATTTATTGATTTTAAATGTTCAATTTATTATTTTATTTTATTTGTTAATTAAAAGGGATTTTTCATTCATAAGTTACAACTTTACACCTTCCATATTAAAGAAGAAGTTTGTAAAGCTCTTGCATAGCGCATCCATTTAATTTCCTTACATTTGTTTAAAATTACAAAATATGGAAAATCTACGCTCATGCGCATGTTACAAATCGACGGCAAATAAACAAAAAAAAGTCGCGGCCATCTTGTTTGTTATTTCATTTCTTTATTTCTATCATCGATTACTCTTTCTTCAACATTCTTTGTCGCCGCGAAATCAAATGTGCGGCGAAACCATTTACGAAACTTGATGTCAAAGCGGACGAGAATTCCTCTTGCAAACCTTCTAGACTTACTCGCCACACTTCAGCGAGTTGTCGGGTGGGCTTTAGCAGTCAGCCGCACCTTGTGTTTTAAGAAACCCAGGAGGAATTAACAAATGAAACTTGGTCAGGATGTTAAGGGAGGTATCCTCTAAAACATGTATTACTAAAAAGAATAAACAATATCATTGTTTATAAGTTATTTGTTGTTAAAATTTCTTAAGTCGTTCCACTAGGTTTCCTTAACAAAAAGTGCATTTGTCACATACTTTCATATATATAAATGCACATAACACTGTGCTTAATACTTTACATACTTTTATTTTATTTTATCTTGTATATAAATCACTTTAGTTCAACTTCTATCGACATGTAAATTACATCGAATTGTACCATGAACCAAAAATACAAGATTACGTAAGAACGCGACGTTGTATTTGTAACTGGTTTTGAGAAAAAAGTTTGCGAAAGCGGGTTCGTCAGCTGAGCGTTTGTTTACATCACAAGCACCACTATTTTACACTTTTATTTAAGTAAAGAAGAGTTAATTCAACATGACAATACATTTTCAAGCATTTTTTTGCATCATTTTACTTAAATTGTGCGCTTAAAGTGGCTGACAATAATTTTGGCTAATTTTGGGTTTCGTTGTTTTCTTAGCTTTGTTTACTTTTCGCTCGTTTTCCAGTGAAACAAGATGGCGTAGAACCCGCTAAAAAAAATCGACTTTTTTCACTCTCTTGTTGTTACGTGATCTTGTGTCTTTCGTTCATGGAATTGCACCCATATTTACAATAACACATGGTTGCAAACTGACACATAACATGTGTTGCCATATTGTACAAAACAATACATACAAAAAAGGCAATGTTTAAAAAGGAATACAGGGGAAATCAATACAAAAGAAAATGAAAATTTACCGCTACTTTTATTCTGGGCGTGTATTATTGTCAATGAGGGTTTCCGGTCACGAACCCCTGTGCAAAAATATTGCCCATGATGTAGGCGGTGTTGGTCACGCCCGATTTGTTTGCTTTAAGTTCGGTCGAAGTCCGCCTACGCAGAAAGGTGTTCTCTGCAAAAGGTGTTCAGCTCCTTTTCTTCGCAAAACAGAAAGGAGAATTCTACTGCCTGAGGGTTATAATCCCTAAGTGCGGCCGAAGGCCGCCTACGTAGAAAGGTGTTCTCTGCAAAAGGTGTTCAGCTCCTTTTCTTCGCAAAACAGAAAGGAGCATTCTACTGCCTGAGAGTTATAATTCCTAAGTGCGGCCGAAGGCCGCCTACGCAGAAAGGTGTTCTCTGCAAACGGTGTTCAGCTCCTTTTCTTCGCAAAACAGAAAGGAGAATTCTACTAAGTGAAAATTCCGAATTAAAACTCCGCTTTTATTATTCAAAATTCCAGTCTGGTAGCACCAAGTTGTATGATATTTTGCTATCTTATTCATCGTTTAAATGAAAACTTTAACAATAAATTATATAAGAACTATAGGGTTGCTAGAAAAAAGGGGGTATTTTTGAAATCAGGGGGTCCTATTCTACCTGTCTACTAAAATTTTCCCGAGTTGTCTCTTCTTATAGATTTACGTTCTTTGATTGAATCATGAATCATGCTCATCTGCTAAAGCTTGGAGGAGTCCTAACCCTGATGGGAAATTAAAGCCGGCAATTGACATTTCCTTGTCCTTTTTTCAATCATTTTATCATTTACTGCCATCAGTTTTTAAGGCCGCTATACGTCAAAAAAGAGGTAACTTGCATTATAAATACCACGTAAGTACGTAAAAAATTAAATATTTTTTATCTCAGGAAAGGGAGAATGAACAAATTACCGTCGGTGAGAAAATTATCTTTGCCGCTATTAGTGGTGTTAATCGTAGTAGCGTTGGCAATAGCGAATATTCCTCGTCCGCGAGGTGTTCCGCTATTCAAGGCATCGCTCTATGCTCCCGGCCCCGGCAAAAGTTGGGTTTGCCTAGATGGTCAAAAAACCATACTTCATACGCAGGTCAATGATGACTTTTGTGATTGTGCGGATGGTAGTGACGAACCAGGTACTTCTGCCTGTGCAAATGGCAGTTTTAACTGTGCGAATCTCGGCCATCGCGCTGAGGACATCCATAGTTCGCTTGTTAATGATGGAATTTGTGATTGCTGTGATGGTAGCGATGAGTGGAGTGGGGGTGCTGCTAGTTGCCCAAACACTTGCTTGGAGCGTGGGAGAGCGGAAGAAGAACAGCGACGGTCGCAAGCGGATTTGCACAAGCGTGGTAGTGCAAAACGATCGGAATTTATTGCTATTGGTAAACAAATGCGAGTTGATCGTGAAGCCCGGCGAAAGGATCTTGAACATAGGCGCAAAGAACAGGAGGCAGTGAAAGCAGAGAAAGAAGAGCTGAAAAAGACTGCAGAGGCAGCTGAAGCGGAAGCTCTCGATATCTACAAAGAACAACAGCGGGAAAGAGATGCCGCTGCAGCCGAAGCCGCCAGATCACAAGAGGATGCACAGACTATGCGTTATGAGGCAGAGGCGGCATTTAATAAATATGATGCGAACAAAGATGGCTTTGTAGAAGTTACAGAATTAATGATAGACATGACACTCGATCGAGATCGCAATGGCATTGTAACTGTTGAGGAAGCAAAATTCTTCTTAGATGAACGAGATCGCATTGACTTGGACTCTTTCCATACGCTTTCGTGGCCAAGAATCAAACCGATAAAGATGTTAGCAGAAGGTATTTTCAAACCACCAGTACTTGAAAACGGAGGACAAGAAGAAAATGAAAGCGTAGAGACGCAAGAGCAAACCGCGAGAGAAGAATTAGAACACGAAATCGAAGAAGG